TGGTCTATATCGATACAAACCAAAATGGTGTTAAATATAGTTCGTTGGTCCAGTGTAAATTCAAATACTAAAATAGTGTAAATTTAACTTTCACAAAGTATTAAAATAAATTTTACCTGGTGTAAATTGAACTCCTTTTCAGTGTTAAATATTATGTATTTGGTCAAATTAAATCATGCTACACAGAAAAAAAGGAAAAAAAGGAAAAAAAAGGAAACAGGAAGTTCCTTGACGCATTACTAGTATATTAACAGTGGAATTATTCCAGAAAATTGAACCTTTAACTCGCTAGAGATAATGTTTTTAGTGCGTTCCACCAACTTAAAATACTTCAAGTATTGACAGCTGTTTCCACGTATTTAAGGTCTCTTTAGTATCGAACAACTTGTAGTGTCACAGCAAAGCAAAGGACTACTTGAGCTTATATACTCCTCATGTAAGTCAACAGAGGCGAAATTTAAGAACATCACGTGATCCACACCGCCTTTGCTGCGATCGGTACACACTATGCAACCAGGAATGCACGGCAAATTGTTTTAATCGTTTTAACAGAGTGCTTTAGGTTGAAGTAACTCTTATTTTACAAACAACATATTTAGTAAACTGAACCATACAGCGGTTGGTTTCACTGGGATAATTTAACCAATTTAAAAAAAATAAAATAACCATCTGGTTTAGTACCGTCAAACTAATCTTTGTTTATATTAACCTTCCCACAGTTGATTTAAATAAATACTTATGGGTCAACTAAATTAATATAGTTAAATGAACTATTCCTTTTTTTCTGTGTAGGTGCACTTCTCAAATATTTTTTAGATAAACACCGTTTTGGTGTTTGCTGTATATAACATTTTCAACCATAATTCATGATGTTTATATTAACACCACTTGGTGTTGGATTTTGACACCATTTTAAGATATATATATATATATATATATATATATATAGGATGGTTAAATATCCAAAATGAGTAAAATAATAGGCATTGTACAGTGTTTAAAATATCTGTGGTGTAAAGAGTAATCTTAAAATGGTGTCAAAATCCAACACCAAGTGGTGAAATAACCATAAGAATGGACTAGGGTAGTCTTCATGAAAAATAATGCAAAAAGAACATTATTTTTATCACGTAAATGAACTAAATAACAAAATTTACCTAGATTTTATATCGATCATTCTACTTATAATAAGTTTAAAATCAACTAAATTTAGGTCCAAGAAAGACTATCTAACTGTTCATAAATTAAATATAATAGTAACAACAACAACAATGGTTGGTAATAAAAGTTCAGTTGCCAATTTATCGGGCATAGCATTTCAATTTAATGTCGACTTAACTAGTTGATGGTTTCCTTACAGTTTTCTAAACCATTGATTCGTAAAATGGATGAGAGAGCTAATGAGATTTTAAAATGCATCAATTTATTCAGTTGTTTTCGCGCATAACTGATCTTTGACAGCCAATCAAGTAGGGTTGTAACTATTTTTTAATAATAAATTTAGTTTTATTGTTAAGTAATAAATACAATTTTATTTATTGGGTGCTCGGTTTTGAACAAATTATAACGAAACAATTATGTCTCATCGAATTTAAAAAAATAATATTACTAATCATCACATCTCATTACATCAATGAAAATCGATATACTTTATTGATATAATTGGTTAAATTAAAAAATTCATTAAACGTATCCTTCTATATATGGTATCTTTTTTTATATCACCTTCAAGGTGATGCGCGATTTCTGGGACACCATGTAAGTACATATGTATGTATAATGTATATGGGTGATTCTACAAAAGTCAGGCAATAGATAGGTATTTTAATATTTTTTTAAATATTTTAGTATTTCAATAGATCCAGGTTTTTTTAACTTGCCCACCCAATTTTAATGTATTTTTTTTAAAGCACGTTTGTAGAAAAACATAATAAATATTCAAAACATCAGTACCTTGGCGTGTCACAACTCCTAAATCAAATATTTGAGTGATTTTATTTTAAAATATATTCAATTTATCTTAAATGTTTCAATTTCACTACAAACTATAAAACATGAAATAATGTATTTTTCACATTTTATCATAGATTCGAATAATAGCAATTTTTAAAAAATTGATAATCTTTGTACTTACTTTTACCCGTCAGTTCTGTGTCCAATGTTAAAATTCAAAATTCCTGCGAAATATTGAAGTTTAAACGTCAAGTCCTCGTTTTAACTTAAGAGTTAGTAAAAAATTACCTACAGAGCCCGCCCTTTGCACGACAGTCATCTTGAAAACAATGGAAGCGGCGAAGTTCTGGTGAATGCACGTATAGTTTAAGTCAAAATTTCAGTACTGTGGTAAGTAGTTATTTTCTTACGTATATATATTTCATTGTAATTTATATAAGGCTATATGTGATTTGTTAATAAGTAGCATCCACTAATAAAAAATATCAGTAAAATACTTAATTCCGAATTATAATCTCAAATTTGTATCCCATTCATCAGTACCGTGTCGTCAGTTCCATGTTCGATGTTTTTTGTTATTTTTTTTCGCAAACTTCAATTTAAATTCTGCTTGCGCAGAACTTGTTTATTTAATGTCATTATAAACTCATATAAATTTCGTGTGGGTCCCATATCTAATAATTGAGATATCGGTATACCCAAAATCCACCAGCCGCCACTGATGTGTGGTATTATTTGATTTTAAGATATTTAATAAATCTTATATTTTCCAATAAATTATGTAATTAATTAGTACCCTGGTATACTTGTCACTTCCCTTACATTCAAATTTAGAAAACACAGATATTTTAGAAACTGTTTGAAAAAGTGACTGGCCCGGTCTGGAACAGTATATTTATTATATTATATATGTTCTCATAACAAAATATTTTTTTCCGAAAACTATATAAACAAAATGTTTCAAAAGTTGCAGAACTTTTGTAGAATCACCCATATATGTATGCATAATTAAATATTTTATTGGTTGGGACACCCTTTTTAATATATGAAGTAAATTAAATGTGCGTTTTATAGTTTAAATGTTTTGCTTTTCATAAAAATATTGACCAAAAATGTACTTGGAATACAAATGTCCAACAATACGTAATAAAAGAAAAGTAAACAAAACACCTGGTTAACTCAACTTTTACAAAGACACTTTTAATGCTAGCTGAAAGCCTTATTTTATTACATGAAATGGACTAGACAAAAAGAGCAAGAACTTGAAATAAATAGGCTTTATCCCGTAAGGTTGCAGTTCCACAATAAAACGTAGTGTTTCGCGTGTCGAATTCATTGCATCTGCTTTCAGCGCTGTAATCTCATACAGACAGATTGTTTGTTACATGAGATGCACGTTTAATTCATTAAGCTGAAATAACGGCGCTTTTGATACTATTATACTTTGCTCACTTGTACATTCCAGCTGGCTAATTGTAATGTTGTTAGGCAGTTTTTGTTGTTTTTGTTCAAGTTTTGCCATATAAAAAGTGTAAAATGTAATTATTGAGCAGCTATAGAGCCCTTAGCAAAATTAAACTAGTTTTGCATAATTAGAAATGGGCAATACTAGTTCTGCTTTTTTGGAAAAGCTCAATAGCCGAATGTAAGTAAATTTTCGATAAAGAGTCTTTGTTTAAAAGTACAATTGTTGGCAACTCTGCTGGCAAATTTCTATATAATCTGATGATTTTAGAATGGTGTTTTTTAATTTTGTGATCATTTATATGGGTACACAAAATATTGGTCCTATATGGGGCGCGTCTATGCCCAATATTTTATCTGGGGCCAATATTGGATTTATTTAGCCGATGTTAGCCCTATATTGGCATAAAATGATAATTTAATATATCATTGCTAGAGATGTAAAAAACGGTTTTTTTTTCAGATGTGAAAAACGGTTTTTTTGTTTTTTTTTCAAAATGAAATTTTGAGTAAAATGTATAGGTATTAATAATAAAGTGAAATGTAGAATATATTAAATTTTTCATTATTTAAAATTTTGACCGAGACTAAAAAATCTGATTTCTTATTATTTGGTAGTTTCCACATTAGAAACCAGTAGCAATGTAAAACTTCTACACTAATACAAAAAAATTAAAGGATACATTTTTTTTTGCGATTCTTCGGATAGCTGTATCTTTGTTAAAAATGGTCGTATTGGAGCCGTAAAAAAAGCAATTTGAAGCTTGACGTTTCTAGTTTTGAGATTTTTAGATGAAAAATGTGCAATGCTCAATCGTAACGAATACCGTAATAAAAAAATCGATTTTTTTTGGCTTTCTGATCCACGGAATCCACCAATGAATAAATGTTCTACAAGAATTTGCTATTGTTTTTTTTTTTTGAAAAAAAGTCCATACTCTACATACATTTGAAAAATCATGAAAAAAGTGTTTTTTGAAAAATCAAACGCTGAATCAAAAATATTATATGTAGTTACTTTTTTTAGGACCAAATCAAAACAAGCGCGGCCCTTATTGGTCAATTCGGTGGTGGTGGTGCGTGCATAGCATTTACATTTACTAATTGTCATTTAGAGGCAAATTTTAGTTCATGAACTGGACTGGAAACAAAAAATTAGGCAAACGGGACTAATCTTGAAAAAAAACCTAAAATGTGAAAAAAAACCATTTGAAAAAAAAACAATAAAAAGAACCTGAAAAAAAAACAAAAAAAACGGACCGTTTTTTTTCAAGTCGCATCTCTAATCATTGCCAATGTTTATCTAAGGTTGCCTATATTGGCATATTATTTTACGCCAATATATCATTAACTATAGTCAACGATGCTTTCGGATCTCTAAAAGTGGTACGTAACGACACAGGTTTGTTTCCAGGATATGTCTATACTAGTGGAGCAGGAAGGCCATTCTTGCATATTACATTGTCAACCGCCCCCCCGCTTCTATGCCCCTAAGTACCTACTATAAACATTTCCTGAAAACAAACGTTTGTGGATCGCGATCGTGACATATCACTTTTAGAAATATTACTACGTAGTAAGTACTAGGTGGCTATCTTTTTTTCTTTCAATTCCTCCCTCAACTTTCCTAGAATATAATGTAAAACAACTTCGGGCCAATGCGAATTTACAATATCGCTTATATAATGCCAAACAACTTCGGGCCAATGTTGGCTTTCAATATTGGACCATGCTAGAAAAAATCTGAGGAAAGATATATTGGCCTAATATTATTACGAATATTGAGCCAATACCTTTGTGCTACTGGGGGTGTTATATTGTGTTTGTTTACTAAATTCATTAATAAAGCAATATTTTTTATTAAAATTAGTTTTCAATTTTCTACAAATACTTTTGATATTGGGTCACCAAAAAGTTTATAAGAACAAGGTTCTTTTTGAAAATTAGAAAAATTATGGTTGAATTATTAACATAGAATTTTGTTATTAAATCTACAACATGTCTGTAACAATTACAAACTACTTATTTACTTATTTAACAGATTACAGTTTTTTTAAACGTAACATAAAGTCTTGTATTGTAGACCTGGATTAACATAAAGTATTTTTATTATTTGTTTAAAATTAACAAATATTTTTTTACTGTGTAGGTTTTAATATTTTCGTTACTGATAGGAAAATGATTCCTTGAATACCTATATGTATATCTACTTATTTTTAAGAATGCGCTATAGTATTTTTCCTTTTTCAGAAAAAGAGGTATTATTTGCATTAAGGCAGCATACCGCAATCGTCAGAAAACATCGCAATGTCAAAGATTTTATCGCGAATATACTTGTTCAGCTAATTTATGGCTTGTTACTGACTGTAGCTTACAGTAGCGGAAGACATTTGTGAAAATTATATTTACGATTATTGATTAGAATATTTTTTACAAAACCAGTCAGTCCTGGAATTTGATCGAAATGAAAACGATAAAAGATGTAAAAGGATGTAATATTTTATTTTTTGCATGCGGGTTTCGCTTTATTATCTCAAGATGAATGTTATGTCAGTGGTTTTGTTTTCAAGCTAAGTAATTAAAATTAATTACCTTTCAATGACACTATATTTAATTATCCATGATTTTTTAAATTAAAGTAAAAAATATTCAATAGCAAAACCATATAAAAACTTATAATTAATGATTGAAAGTAATGAAAAATAGTAAATAAAAAAGCTTAAGATGAATGATCCCGATGTAATTTAAAATATACCTTTTACTTTACTATACAAACAAACCAAAAAATATTTATGTAAATAAAACTACTGCCTACTTATATTTTCTGTAAGTACCCAATTAATAATAATTAGGATAACATTATTTTATTATAAATTGTATCTAAAACATTGATCTTAACTCTTCTTAAAGCAGATAACAACAAAACGGGTATGTAAAATTATCTCAAGCAAATTATCTTGCTCTTAAAGTTAAATCAATCAATCTTATAAAGTTATTGCTATAATCAATCAATTGAAGAAGTAATCAATAATGTCATCAAGAATTTAATGCAAAATATAATACTGATGTATGTACATTGTAAAACTTAAGTTAAACATTTAATACAAATAGGTAAAGTCTGAAAAGTCCCAATACATTTAATGTATTGTTATAAATTTTGTTATTGTTTTTATGATTGTTCAGTAATTCGTCAGATATTTTATAGTATTTTAAACAATTTTAAAGGTTTGGTTTAGGACATATTAAGCAGTTTTAGAACATATTTGGGACATTTCTTTAAAAGTTTGTTTACTTTATTTTAATCTTAAAAGCATATTTGGACGATTTTAGGACATTATTAGACTTTTCCATACAATAAGGCTTGTTTTTAATAGTTTTGGGTTATTTTAAACAGAATTGAAACCTTTGAGACAGTTTCATAAAGTTTGGGTAATATTTGACGAACTGTATAAAAACTTAAATTTAAACAGCTTGGGATTTTGATACTTTAGCGTTATTTTAAACAGTTTTTGAACATATTTAAACATTTTAGTACAATATACATATACATTTCGGAATATTTTAGACAGTTCTGATAAAATTTGAGTCAATTAAGATAGTTTTTATTTAGTTTGGGTCTTTTTAGACAGTTCTAATGGATTCTTTGGATCATTTTTAATATTTAATACCTAGGTTACATGGGTGTCGCCCTCCTAGGAAATAATTAAATGCTAGGTCACTTAAATTTATAATTTATAATTCCTAGCAGAAATAGTTTGGGAGTACAAGAACAGGAAAATATTTTGACATTTTATTTTTGACGGAACAATTTTAAATCAGATTTATAACCATGTTGGGTAAAAAAATATTCAAATTAATTTAATTTAACGAATTTAAACCGATTAAGTATTTTTTTAATTCAAAAAACAAAATAACTTGACGGGCAATTTTGTTTAATTCGATGCTACTATTTTACCGTTGAATTCGTGTTTTTTGTATTGCCAATTTTTCTTTCGAACTGTTTCCAACCCATTTTGATGACCGTCCCGAAGCAACTTTTTTCCAAATTTAGATTTTCGGGAAACGAACAAAATTGGAGGATTTAAAAAATGTAAATTTGGTCGAAAAAGGGTAAAAACTTCAACATTCCATGGTTATCGCTTTTTGAGCCACCTTGGTTCGAGAAAATGCATATTCACTGACTCACAGACAGCTTAAAAAAATATTTGTTCAGAATTCGGTGCTTCTTTATCCACTTTCTAAAATTGAGCCAAAGGTTTACCTGAATCCTACTTCCTACTATGAGATTTGGTAATTTACAGGCACCACAAATTGTATTTATTCAACCTACAATTCATATGCTCTATTTATAATATTTCCCCCATCAGTGCACTGATTGTACAAATACATAATAGTGTATTATGTATTAAGTTTGATAAACGCCATTTTAGTCACGAATTTTAAGTGTCAAGAAAAGTTTATAAACGAGTTGCATAATACACTTTTTCTTCGACAAATATTATTAGGTATAAAACTAATTACTAATTACCAATTAATTTAAATATTTGTGTAGAGCGACATCTATACAAAAATAGAGAAACTTGTGAATCTGTTTTACTAATTTTCAAAATGGCATTTGGTCGTCAAATTTGTCTGTAAAGATCTAATTTTATCTCTTAAAATGGACTAACAACTGTTAAAACTCGATATGAAAGCAGTTTTTTACAGTGAAAGTGAAGAGGAAGTGTTATGGGTACTCTACCCGAAATTTTTAAGGATTTATCGGCAAATACAAGTGTACCGCCGGCGAAAGCAAAAGGTCAGTACAAACGTCCATATAAACCTTTTAAATATTGGCGTTAAGAAACTGTTTAATAATTTTGTATTTTTATATTAAGATAATAAAATAATTTTCACATTTACTATTATTTTTCAAAAACTTTATTTTGACCATTATATGACATTGATAACTGTCAACTAAGTAAGTTAGCTAACTTCAGCCCCTGACTAAAAACCTGTTGGTAACTTCAGCCAGTGACTAAAACGCCATAAAGTCACAGATTGTCAATGTGTATTTAAAAGATCATTTCGTGTCATGAAAACATGTACGATTATGGGCGTTTTAAAGGTGGGTGTAGAAAAATATTGTTACCTACATGAAAATACAGCATGTTGCTTTTGCCAGCATCCAATAACTTTTCTTGGACTAAAATTTATTATAACATTTATGGACCTTTTGATTTAACCGATACATTTTCTAGTTACTAGATAATAAAGCATACTACTATTAACTAAATGCTCAATGGATTATCCTTGTGTATTTTCTTATACGTTGCCTTACTACCTAGTTATTATTAGCTATAAATCAGAAAAAACAGGATATTTACTTGAGCACTAAAAGTAAAAGATTAAATTTTTTAAACTATCCAAAAATAAATCACATTTAATTCGGTTTTGAAGAATAACAACACAAATATTGTTGTTTATTGCGTTATGATTTGTAACTATTTAATGTTGAATTGAGCTTCCGGCATAAAAATCATGTATGAACATTAAATTAGTAATAAAGAAGCGGCATTAACTTTAACAATACCGCCATAAATCTCCATAGACTTATTACATCAATGTCAAGGTGGAAGAGAATTTGCGGGCGTAATATTTATGGTTATTTGCTATACATGATTCTAAGAAACATCATTTAAAAATTAGATTCCCTTCCTAAAAGCGACAATTTTTTATTCAAGTTATTACTTCCTTTAAATTAGTTTTCCTTGCCATGCTTTCAAAAATGAGTTTTATTAATGTTGTATCTATGAATGAAACCAATTAGTTTTTTATTTTAATCTGGCATTAAATATGATGAAATGTGTCTTGTAAATATTTTAATCTTCAGAATATTTCTCTTACTTACATTCATATTAATATACTATTTAGTTTTTCAGGATTATCTTTAAATCTGTTGCACTGACCCGATTAAAACATGGTGGTATCAATTAAATAAGATTTTAATTTTAACTAGCCATTTTTGTTTAGGGGTATTTCTGCGAAACCTTATCCCACCTTGACAAAAAATCATACGAGGTGTGTTCAGAAAATAACGGGAATTGTTAAATTTCGCGGGTTCGGAGGGTCCGGTTGTCATAAAATTTTCTTTATTATGTGGGTATACATGCCCCCGAAGTATGATAAAAACTTTAGGTTAGACGTGTTTTATGAGCTCGGCGATTTTTCGTTCGTTAAAAGAAATGGATCAAAGAATTTGTATCAAATTTTGCTTAAAAAATTAAATAAATTCTGTGAAATGTTAACAAAGGCCTATAGTGAGTCTGCTATAAGTAAAACAAGAGTTTTCAAGTGGTATAAGAGTTTCCAAGATAGCCGTGAAGACGTTGAAGATGACGAACGCCCCGAACGCACAAGCACATTAACAACTGATAAAAACATGGAAAAAGTGGAAGATATGGTTATAAACCATCAGAGAAGTCGCTAATGATGTTGGTATATCGATTGGCTCATTCCATGAAACTTTTTCGAATGTTTTGGGTATGAAACGCGTGGAAAAAAATTTGTTCTAAAATTGTTAAATTTTGAACAACATTTTTGGCCAAAACCAATACTTTAATGATGCCCCATGGGGCTGCAGCCTCCATTTTCGCCAGACATGCCTCTGTCTGACTTTTTCCAATTCCCAAAAATAAAGAGAACCTTAAAGGGCCGTCGTTTTGCAAGCATAGATGACATTAAAAGCGCATCGCTGAAAGAACTAAAGGCTATCCCAAAGACCGAGTTTTAGAAGTGTTTCGAGTATTGGAAGAAGAGCTTACACATGTGCATAATATTTGTTCTAAAATTGTTAAATTTTGAACAACATTTTTGGCCAAAAACAATACTTTAATGATGCCCCATGAGGCTGCAGCCTCCATTTTCGCCAGACATGCCTCTGTCTGACTTTTTCCAATTCCCAAAAATAAAGAGAACCTTAAAGGGCCGTCGTTTTGCAAGCATAGATGACATTAAAAGCGCATCGCTGAAAGAACTAAAGGCTATCCCAAAGACCGAGTTTTAGAAGTGTTTCGAGTATTGGAAGAAGAGCTTACACATGTGCATAATATCCAATGAGGACTATTTTGAAGGCGACAACATTAATGTAGACGAATAAATAAATATTTGTTTCAAAAAACGAAAATTCCCGATATTTTCTGAAGTCAAATAGTTTTATTGCGACGTAATTTGTAACCTTAAAATATTTGTACATTGTGATGCTTAGAAGCTAACATCAAGAATAAATACGGAAGAGTTTCAATACTCGATAAAAAGTTCAGTATAAAATATTTGTGCAGTTAAAATACGTGCTTGTTTGAGGTTAATATTTAAGTTTTACACAAAAAAACTATTACTATATGCTTCCATTCAAAATTTTACATTATTAACTTTAGAAGGCAACTTGGTCGCATTTGTCGATTTTTTAAGGTCGCGCCCGTTACACGATTCATGACGTTATAAAAGGTTTTCTATATAAGTTTTTATTGACATTTTTTTTGAGTTAAATATCTAATTTTTTATACTATTTTTGTATATTAACGTATCTTGAACAAAAACTTTATTATCATGAAAAAACGCAGGGTTAGTGTCGCACCCGTTATGTTGAATGGAAATACCCTTAGGTAAAAATTTGATGATTTCTTTTTTTATTACCAATAGTAAAAGAATTTTATTTAAATAATTGGAAGTCAAGATCTTGATGGGACATCATTTTTTGACAAAAAACTACCTTACCAAAGGTAATAACTGGACCAAAAACGTTGACGTCATCTAGTAAAGAGCAGTTCCATCTTCTATTTTGGAATTGTTGTTTGCACTCAGTTAGAGCTTGCTTAGCCCCAACCGCCACCGAGTTCATGTGATCCATGTATATGTGACAGAGCCGGCCTTGTCCTGGACTTAGGCCAGGTAGTGCACTACAAGAAGCAGCTCCTTGGTCGTTTTGCATCATTTCATCTTCCATCATCCCCATACGTCTGTAAAAAAATAATTGTTTATAAAAGTTTAGGTTTTACAGACAATCTTAAATGTTAAAGAAAATACCAACTTGATGAATTATTGTCAAAAATTTATAAATTTTTAGAAATATGTTAATTTAATTAATTAAAATAACAAAACTTCTAAAAAAGTGGAAGTAAAAAACTTTGTAAAAAAGTAATAAATACAGACCCAGAAAAATATATTTTTGTGTTATTTTACATTTCTAAAATGACGAAATAAAGGCCAAAAACATTAAATTCCAAAAACTACCAGGGTTTGAAAAATATTTTACCAAAAGTTTTGTAAATTTGTAAGCATTTTGTTGATTTCACAGGTTACAGATTATTTTGTTAATGTTTAACAAATTATTTGAAAAAGTACACGTGATGTTAGGCAGCCAATCAAAACATTCCCCACTTACTTTTTTATCGTCATATATCCAGCTTCAGCACAACAACACGTATCAACAAGTTCAACTGACTTTAGCGTCTGAAACTTATTTTAGCTTACTCTATTATAATTTGTAACGTGTTCGTAACAACTGTCCAGAGTGTTTATAATATATTACCTGAAATCTATTATTGTTATTCGGATTCCTTATACCTATTTAAAGAGTGTGAGAAATATCCGAAAAAAGATACCATCACCTGAACTGAAATTGGGGGAAGTGGGCTAAAGTTACGAAATACATCAGTAAGGGCCAGTTTATATATTATATATGGTAGATAATTTCCATAGATACCATTGTTCTCACAACGATCGATATGAAATTTAACTGTCAGATAGACTAACTGTTTCCAACAAATACTTTTGTTACTTGGTCTATAAAAATGTTTGTAGAAACAAGATCCTTTTTGAAAATTAAAATAATTTTGGTTGAATTAATTACATAGAATTTTACCTATTAAATATACAAAATGTCTGTTATAATTACAAACTACTTATTGAATTAGTTAACAGATAACAGTTGGTTGTAAACTTAACATAAAGTGTACCTGGATTAACATAAAATCTGGTTAATATTTGGTTAAAATTAACAAATATTTTTTAACTGTGTATATCCTATGATTATATTCATATTGACGTTTAATAATCTTATATAGTTGTTGTTTATGCTCGTGAAACAATATTCACATTTGCACAGGAATCAAAGAGTTGAAAGTGATGGAGCCATAAATGTGGACATAGTATTCCAACTTGTACAAAAACTTTTGAAATGAATAACCCACATGTACCAAAATTTATGTTTTTTCCTAAAGTTATTAAATGTACATTGCTTGTCAAAAAGATGAAACTTCATGAAAAATGTTTTATTATTAATTCCATAAACAAAATATTTTTTATAAATTATAAAATGCAAGTAAAAATTATATAAATTTATTACGTTGCAACGTGGAGAAAATGCAAGTTTTTCAAATCGTGGAGTGGCGAACGTCGCACTTTCGCCACGGCTTTAAGAAAAATACTTATTTAGGTGTCGGGTTTAGCAGTGGATATTTGTGTTACTGGACTCGAAACCTTAATAAGAAAAAATATGCAACGCTTTTGCCCACGAGTATATCATTAAGCCCATTAAATAAAACAAAATTCCCATTACATTTTATTATTTCCTTTAATCATGCCTACTTACCTTCACTTCACTGCGAATCCATAAGTCATTGGCTGTGTACAGTGAAATTGCAATTAATCCAACAATAATTCATGTTTTTTTTCGTTTACGATTAATCCGCTTAAAATGTGAAAGTGTTTAATAACCACAAAGCAGTGTTGTAACGTAACTAGTTACAAGTAACTAGATACAGTATCTAGATACTTTTTATGTATCTGTTTGTGTAACTAGTTACTTATCCCAATCTAGTAACTATAATTGTAACTAGTTACAAATTCTAAGTAACTAGGTGTGCTAAGATACAAAGATACATTTTTAATTAAACTGCGACTATTATTTATTTAAAAAAAAAATATTATAAAAAATAAGTTATTTTAAATTAAATATTATAAAAAAAATAAAAATAATAAACATATATATTTTTGTTGTCACTTTAAAATTCCCTTTTATTTCTATTTTAAATTTTTTTAAAGCAAAAAATAATTTGTATGTATCTTAAAGTATCTAGATACTTTTTGAAGGTAACTGTATCTGTAACTAGTTACTGCAATAAAATATGTATCTGTATCTGTATCTAGTTACAAATTTTGGTAAGTAACTGTAACTGTAGCTAGATACTGAAAATATTGTAACTGTTACAACACTGCCACAAAGAGTGGTTAACAAATGCAGCAAAAAGTTGGGAATGGTCTGTGAGCGCACGATTCGCCCTATAGCCGAGCGGCCAAGCTTAAAATGTCGTGTTTTTCTGGAAAAATTACCAGACATTTATGTAATTAATGGTCGATGGTTTTTGTAAATAAATGTAAAGGTAAGTTCATAAATCAATATTGATTTACCCAAACATCATGAGTTTCATTATCTTAATCTATATTTAAGTTAACTACGTTAGTCGAGTTGATTGGGCGAAATGAGCATTTGTAGAAAATTGTATTTTGTCGGTGTAATTTTAATAATAATAATAATAATAATAATATTAAAAATAATAAAATTAAATAAAAATTTTCACATTGTTTCATCTTCTGTTTAAAAAAAACGATGCTTGTACGCGCGTTTAAAAGTTTTACTTCCTTGGCATAACTAAAAAAATATTTTGCATGCAAATAATTTATATGGAAAAATATTGAATAATAATTAAGGTTTCATTAAAAAACAATAACATATTTTTGTAAATGTTGGATTTTTTTAAAACTTAAGGGCCATTTCAGGCATGCGGACGGGACAAAACACAAAACTGTTTTTATAAAAAAAATGTAGGTGATTTATTATATAATATTTTGGCATCAAAATTGTCAACAATATTCTTCTTTTATTAGGCTATCCATTAAATAAAAAAAATGCAAGAAATATTTTATAAAAGTAGAGATAATTTTGATAATTGACAGGTGTGGACGGGACAAGAGAAATCTTTTTTTTGTCCCGTCCACACCTTTCAATTATTAAAATTATCTCTACTTTAATTAAATATTTCTTGCGTTTTTTTTATTTAACGTATAGCCTAATAAAAGAAAAATATTTTTGACTATTTTGATGCCAAAATATTATATAATAAATTTTTTTTATAAAAACAGTTTTGCAATTCGTGCGTTTCGTGCGCCTGAAATGGCCCTTAAGTAATTTTTGTAAATCTTAAAAAAAATTAGAAATTTTAAAATTTGTTTAAAATTTTGAAAATTTTAAAAATGTTGGGAATAATACAATTTTTGTAAATTTTGCAATTTTTTTAAATTTTTAAAATTTTGAAATTTTTTGAATTTTTTAAAACTTGCTATTGTGCGAATTTGTCCTAACATTTCTATACTCATCCAACTATGCGAATTTGTCCTACCATTTTAAAATTTATATAAATAAGGGTAGTTTTTAATTATCCAATCACTTTAAATCAATTTTTATTAATAAATTACTTAATTAACGACAGGAATAATTAAAATAATCTTTAATATTTAGCGAAAAGTAAAATAAATGACCTATGCCACATCATGCTCTCCTAAATTTGAAACCCTGAAAACCGTTGAAAATAAATTATGTAACCTTTAAGACTTCGTGCTCTCCTAATACTAATCAAAAAATATTTGTTATCTTTAACCAAATATTAACCAGATTTTATGTTAATCCAGGTCCATATAACTTTATGATAAGTTTACAACCAACTATAATCTGTTAGCCAATTAAATAAGTAGTTTGTAATTGAATCGGTTTGACAAGTCATTTTCTAAAATCAATTTTAAAGTTTAAAATACATTTTTGTGAGAATATATAAATCAGTAAACAGAATATGAATATTATATTTTATAAAATAATTAAAATATTCTCTCAAAACTGTATTTAGAACTATAAAACGGATTTATTTAAATAGTTTGTCAAAATTTTAATTTGTGGACTTGTACTGTTCTTAATCTCACTGATTCAATTATATATAATTTTTACAAAAATTACTAATTTTTACTTCCGCTTTTGTAGAAGTTTTGTTATTTTAGTTTTTATAAAACCTTGCAGAGGCGAACAAAAAATCGAAATAAATAATTTTTTTTCTTTTGTCCAACATTGGTTCCATTTAAGAAATAATTACCTATAGGGTAAGACTTGTTTATAATGTTTACGCTTTCATATCTTTTTGTTTGTAGATCATACACCTTCACTTGAAGGTGGTGCGAAACTTATGGGACACCCTGCATCAATGAAATTGTTTTTACTAAAAAATCTATTGCTAAATATAACACTGTTATAAAAATCAGACTTGTTAACATGAGTTTTGTAAAATTTTAACATAATTTATTGTAGAAAACCAGGGTTAGTAATTATTTTAACAAAGGAAAATATTTTACCTACAGTTTTGTAAAGGTAATACGCAATTTTGTAAGCATTTTGTTAATTTCAAAAGTTAGAATATTTTGTTAATGTTTAACAAATTATTTCGTTGAAAAAGTGATTTTAGGCAGTCAAGTTCAACAGCGTCTTTAACTTATGTTTCTGCTTACTTTATTCTAATTCATAAAGTGTTCGTAACAACTGTCCAGAGTGTTTGTGATTTATTACCAGAAATCTGTTATTATTGTTATTCGGATTCCTTACTCTCTTAAAATGCATTAGTCAAAAATAACTAATTATAAGTCATATTTGACTAATTCTCATAGCGAAAAAGCAGTCACCAATAATGTGTCAAATTCCACTGAATAAAATAGTCAGTAGTAGATTTAAATTTAAAAAAAGTTTTGACCCAGCCGGGGATTGAAATCAGGTCTGTCACTTGTCAAGCTGTTGTCATAACCCATTCGGCTATCAGCCGCTCTTATAAAAATCAATTTTATTTGTAATTGAATATTGTTCATAATATTTTAAAGTTGAATATATTATTTGTGTTGCTGTTTTGAGCT